TGACCATGAGCTGGTTCATTCATCTGTTGGTGGTTGAATCCTAAAACGGACCAGATGTTCATCACAGGATGGAGCCGCAGCACTGGAGTCACATTTCAACTCTGTTACTACGTCAGCTTTGCCTTTTATTTATTAATTAAAACTAAACTCCAGGTTCTGATCCAGAACTCTCATTGGGTTTCTGTATCGGTCTCGTGGTTCTGGAGGACTTCTGCTCCACCCAAGCTTTCATCTGTGAGGGTCCACCACAGCGTTTTGATCAGGTTCTGGACCGTTGAACCTCGGTTCTGATATTTCTGACCCATTCTGTTGAAGATCAGCTGCTGTGTTTGGGTTCACGGTTCTGTTGGACCCAGTTTGGTCCAAGCTTCAACTGCTGAACACCAGAACCCTTTGGTCTGCAGAGGAGTTCCTGGTCCACTCAGTGACTGACAGGAGCCCGAACCATCAGCCTCCACCACCGTGCTGACAGCTGGAGGAGCTGTCTGCTGCAGTGCATTCTGGGTAAACATCTGTCCTCTGGTCTGGTTCTGGTCCAGAAGTCTTGTGGGTCCTTCAGATGGAACTGTCCAAGTCAAAGCTTGTGATGAGCGCGTAGTTTGTCCAGCAGCAGGTCGGAGTTTAATTTTAGATTAAAGCACAAAAGACGATGCCGAGGGAACATCTGGTGTTTATCTCGTTCTGGTGAAAGTTCATGAAGTTAAACACGAGGTCGGCTGCTCTCAAGCTGCTTGTTAAAGACCAGGTCAAACTGGAGGCCCTCCACGTTTTGAGACTTGCACTCAAACCATCAGATGAGTTACTGATCAATAAGGATCAATAATGGACACACGAGGAATCGGAGATGGTTTCAACTCTGAACGCTCGTTCTGGATCTCACGAGTTGTTCTTGACAGTTTTCTTTGTTTTTTCACATTTAGCAGCAGATTCTTTTTTCCATCTAAACGTCTTAAGACACGGACGGGACACATCGGAGGCAACGAGGGGTTCAGTGTCTTGCCCAGAGGCACGTCAACATGCTGGTGGAATGGAACCCCCAACTCTCCGTTGGAGGACGACTGCTCCAACCACTCGGCCACAGCCGCCCGTCTGTGGAAGAACCATCAGGATATAAACTGCACCAGCTGATAACCTTTAACCTTTACAGCAGATTAATTGTAGGTCAGAAGGTGAAACCACTGGGATCATAACTGGAACTTTTAGAACGGTTTAGTGGGAGAACTGGAGACGCTTCAACTTTGCAGGTACCAGAAAAAACTTTCTGACATGAGCTTTGATTCAGGAAATAGTTTATTTAGTCGGGTTTTAATTCTTTTAGCTGCAGCAGTTAAAACTCCTGCACCAGTTTAACGTTAAAGTAAACTGGTAGCCCCCACTTGAACCAGTCAAAGGTAAGTCCGGTTTGTTTTTGTCTTGGTTTTCATTCCCGTAGAACCCTGAAGATAAATTCCCCTGGCAGAAGGTTCACCTCTGATTTATCCTTCAGATGACTGGGGGGGGGGGGGGGAACTTCGTGGATTGTTTTACGTATTTAAGGCCAAAAAGTGCACGTCTTTACAAATGATCCTTTTTCGAACGTTGGTTTTGAGTCTGGTTTGCAAAGTGAAGCGGTCAGAGTCGGTGTGGAATCAGACGGTCGCCCTCATGTTGCTCCTGCTGGTCTTTATCTCCAACTCCAGCTGAGCGAGACTCCTCTGCAGAAACGAAACCACCAGAAAGAAAACTGATAAAAGAGTTGAAAGTCAAGTAAACCAGAGGCGTCGCATCAGTTACATGTGAGGGGGACGTGTCCCCCTCAAATATAACAAAAGTTTGTTTGGACCCCAATTATTATTATTATTCACACAAGGAGAACTGTTGGTCAGGCTGCCTCTTGTTGCTTGTACTAGTCTGAAATAAACCAGTGTAGGGACACTCGTCGTTTTTACTCACGTCTTTCTGAAGCAGGTCCTCCCTCAGGTCTCTGATCTCGTCTTGTTGTCTATAAAAGGCCTTCAGGAGCTGAAACGCAGAAGTTCACGGTCTTTATTCAGTTTTCTCACGGTCAGGATCTGAACACTGCCTCTGACTGACCTCAGTCTCGGTTGTTGGCGGGGGTTTCTCTGCGGGTTCGCAGCAGTGGGGGGTGCAGCAGTAGGTCCAGAGTGGGAACTGCGTCTCGTCGGGGTGCCACCCTGACAGATCACAGATCAGGTCTCTGGGATATTTGGCGTCTTGATAGGCCAGCTGCTCCTCCAGGAAATCCTTTAAGGCAACGAAATGAGAACGAGCTTCAGGGAAAAGCTTCTCACTTTGAACCAGCTGAAAACTAGTTTCACTCCATCCTGAAGTTTATAAAAGTAGTAAAGCTCGATCGAGATGACCTTCCAAAATGTTTTACTCCTACAAATTCTTTTTTTTTTTTTTGTCACTGTTCATTTACAATTCAAGAGACAAAATAATAATTTGCTTACAGGAAGTTAAATAGAAAAGTAGACAACAACTTCAGACCCTCAGACCTTCTTCCCTCCAGTACCTCGTCCAAGTTTGTCCAGAGAGACTCCAAGGTTGTTCTTTTAACCGCTCCCTCCTGCAACAGCCAGTGAACTTGGATGAAAGTTTGGCGTTGCTCTACATCAGAAGCCCTTCCTGTAGCAACCTTGGTTCAAACTTACACCTGAGGATTTCATGGCCTGACCATCAAGCTACTGCAAGGTGGGAGATGAACCCTCTCTCTGGATCTGCCACAAAGTGTCCTCCAGTTGAGACATTTCTGAAACTCCTCCTTTAGGCGGCAGCCAGAATGCATCCTTTGCAGATGCCCAAACCACCTCAACTGGCTCATTTCAATGCTGAGGAGCAGTGATTCTATTCTGATGTTGCTCGGAATAATCAAACTCTAACCTAGAGGTGTCATTACACAAAACCACCACAGACCCAAAGGATCCTTCAGGGCCACTTTATCCTCAGCCCATACGGGTCCTGCACACTCAAAGCTATGACTTGAAAACACCAACAAAACCACATCTGCAAAAAAACAGAGCTGGGACTCAGAGGTTCCCAAACCAGACAACCCACTGTCCTTCAGTACAGACTGATAATTGATTGAAGACTGATACACGCATGTTCTGTCCTCAACTATGAACAAAAATGGAGTTTCTTGAGCTCCTACCCTTAAGGGAGGAGGTAATTCCCAACTCAGAGTTGGTAATCCATCCTTTACTGGTTGAGGACTGTGGCTTTAGACTTGGAGATGCTAATCTTCTTGCAGGTTGCTTCACACTCAGCTGCCAAATGCTCTGCAAAGGTCCCAGCTCGATGAGGCCAACAGGACTGTGGGTCCCTCAACTCCTTGGCGGTTCCATAAAAGTTGTGAATAGAATCTGTGACAACGGGCAGTCCTGACATAGATCAACACCAGTGGAAGGACTGATTGGACCGATTTGTTTCTGACTGCAAACCTAAAAACATTTTCTGCTGCTTATCTGTGGTTAGGTCCAGGAGGAAACAGTAGGACCAGAAGAGGAACCCAGACCTCCCTCACCCAGGCAACACTCTCCAGCTCCTCCTTGGGGATCTCAAGGTGTTTCCAGACAAGAAAGGGTACGTCATCCCTTCAGCAAGTTCTGGGTCTGGTCTCTTCCCAGTGGAACATACCCATAACATCTCCAGGGGGAGGTAGTCAGGATCCATCCTAATCAGATGCCAGAACCACCTCCACTGGTCCAGATGATGAACCTCTTCACCTGATCTTTAAAGCTAAACTCCACCACCCAAGAGGAAGCTCATTTCAGCTGCTAGATCCAATTTGTTTCACCCTAAAATCATCTAAAACACATTTGGACCATTTTTTGGATAATGTTCGTGGAACCACAAAGTTCAAAAACTTCTGAGTTCACAGTTTTTGTCAGTAAGTTTTAGAGCTGCGTTCCCTTGATGATTTGTTCAGGTGTCTGATGAGACGTCAGCTTTTTACCCCATTGAGCTCTGACCCGAAACATCGGCCTTCCTTCTCTCTAAAGTCCTGGTTTGTGTTCATCCCCGCACCGGTCGGACTCATCTGGAACCTGACGGAGCCCAGCTCCTTTAACTGGGTCTTCTCTGCAGGGACTTTGGCGTATGGATTTTCCACTTGAGTCTCTGGCTTCAGGGACATCAGAACCGGGCCTGATGATGAGACGAGCAGACAGTGGTTGGTGGATCTCTAACACAAAGTATAAGCTGTAATTGGTTCAGGGTTTTGATGAGTTACGGACCCCTGTTGATCCCCTGCAGCCACTCCTGGGCCATCAGAGCCGGCTGGTTCCCGGCTGTCATTGGGTACAGGTCCGCTTGGAAAATCCCTGACTGAGAGTCCAAACCAAAACATTAGATTTGTTGTGCTCCGGATTAAATTTGACTTTCATATTGAGGGATCGAGGTGCACTGTCAGAACCTCTTTTCGTGGTACGATCATGGACAGTGGTTCCACCAGGTCTTTGACAGTAATCAGACGATAAAACCGGAAAACTTCACACGCGCTCACATTGAGGCCACGCTTCGGCATCACCCCTGAAAGACAAAAATGAGAATACAACTTTTTTTTAATCCTGAAGACGGGTTTGTTTTTACTGTTGATCAAAGACAGAGCAGATATGGTTTTGCCCAAGTCCACGTCTGCAAGTCTTAATTTGTACTGTTAGCAAAATATCTCATGAACCACAGAACGGATGATGAAACTCTAAACTTGGGTTGATATCTATAACTAATGTTTATTCAAGATGGCTACCAACACAAAATAGCTACAACTCAGTCACTTCTACAAATGTTGACTGTTCTGAACGGATGGTCCCTTTTTTACACGGAAGCCGGTTTCTTGGAATTCTTTTTTTTTTTTTTTTCTTGGAATTCAACAGGAGGCGCTATTTATGGGACAGATCTAGGTTGGCAGGCCTCAGACTGATGAAAGACGAAAACTTGTCCAGGTGACATGACCCTCGTTTGTGACCTGGAATTTAGTGTGGTAGTGACTCAGAGTCATAAAAGGAACCAATAAGTCAAAGATTACATTGAAACTTTTAACCGTTGAGTCAACTCCGTCTGTTCTACAAATAAAATAAAACAGGGTGATGTGTTCTCATCTGGAGGTGTTAGCTAAGAGTCGAGCCGCAGCATTTTGGACCACTTGAAGGCGTCTAATGGAGGATTGGGAGATTCCTTCATATAGGGGGAATTACAGTAGTCAAGCCTTGAAGTGATAAAAGCATGAATGGCCTTTTCCAAATCAGAGCAATTTAAAAAAATGCTTAACTTTGGATAAGAGACGTAACTGATAAAAACAGGCCTCGACTACAGAGGATGTTTGTTTATCAAACTTTAAGTCCTTGTCAAACGTCACCCCCAAGTTTTTAACTGTGGGCCTGAACTTGGATGTCAGAGCATCAAAGTTACAGGGAGCATCACCACCGAAGAAGAACTCCATCTTTCCTTCGTTTAAAAACAGAAAATTACGGTGAAGCCACTGTTTAATGTTGTCAATACAATCAGTAAAAGGTGTGAGAAGGTTAATGTTTTTAGGCTTCATTGGTAAATAAATTTGTAGATCATCAGCATAGCAGTGAAAAGAAACGTGATGTCTGGCTATCACTGAACCAAGAGGCAGCATGTACAGAGAGAAGAGGAGAGGACCAAGAATAGAACCCTGTGGCACACCACAAGAGAGAGGGGCAGTAGAGGAAGACAGATTACCCAACACAGCATGTTTAAATGCAGCAGGGACAGTTCCTAGACGAAGGCAGGAGTTTAAAAATGTTAAAACACAGAAACCCACAGAATTAAAAACCTCTTTCAAGAACTTGGAGGGAAGAATGTCCAGAGGGCGAGAACACAAAATGATTTAAACTTAGACAGTTTTACAGAAATGGAGCCAAAAGTTGATCTTACTCTGTTCTGTTATTAGTTTTGTTTTGCAGAGCTTTAAAGTAGCTCTAAAGCTAGTTAGCTCATTAGCTCGTTAGCTCGTTAGCTAGTTAGCTCGATAGCGGGAATTTTTTCGTCTGAAATTTAGATTGAAACATTATTGGTATCAAATCAAAGCCCATTTGGTAAAACAAAAACATTCTACAAACTTAAATAATCTTTACTTTAACCGTTCTTTTGTTTTTGTTTGTATTTTTCTTCTAAGTTGGTTGTAGGAGCACTTAGCTCAGGTATTAGCATGGTGCTTTCCCAGTTCATAAAAACCAAAAAACCCTTTGGTGTCAGGGTTTACAGGCACTGGATTAGATCTACAACCAGCCCCGGTTTGATTTGGACCCGTTAAACCATTATCAGTTTGATTGATGTGTTTTTCTGTGTGTTGGTCTGACCGAGGCCTTTCTGGGGTAGCAGAGACCTGAACTCCATCAGGAAGTTCATGTAAGGTTTTTCAGGGCTCAGCTCGTAGCATCTGATGTTCCCGTCGCCCTAAAAACAAAAAGCACAGAGCAGATCTGTTAATGCCCACACTGTTGAGATACCGACACATTTACAGGCTGTCTGAACGTATTTACACACGTTTCTAACTTTGTAAAAGATAAATGGTTCTACGTGAATGAAGACGTGCAAAATTAGACATGTAGTGAGAACAAACGTGTTTCTAAACCCGAGTTCAGAATGATATTTCATTTTTATTTAACTGAATGTAAGAACAGTTAAACTGGTTTTACTGGTTCATAATGTTCAAATAAAGAGCAGGGAAAAGTAATGTTGGTCAGAGACCTTGTCTAAACACACACCTTTTCAGGAAATTTAAACAAGTGTCTTCACTTTAAAAACGTATAAACTCGGTGTGGTCACAAGTTCTTTCTGCTACTCTTCATTGCATCGTCATCCATGAAAACCCGGGCAGATAAAGACTAATCACAAGACGCCTCAGTCCAGGACTGAGACGAGTTCTGGTCAGAAGACACCCTGAGGACGTGAGGGGGGGGGCGGAGACAGCCCACCTCGAAGCGCCTCCGTCCCTCTCAGGTCCATGTGTGAGAAATAAACATAAATGTGGAGCTGCAGCTCAGTAATGTGATGAACAGATGAAATGAACGGCGAGCTCTCGTGGTTTTAAACATCAACAGATTTCTGAGGGAACATCGATGACGACTCGCAGCAGCTTTGTGGTTAAAGGAACTGGTTAACCACGAACAGGCGCGCTGAACTGAGTCAGCTCGTGAAGTTTAGTAAACGCGTGCGACACGTTTAATGCACCGCGCTCCGCTTCAACCCAGCTGAGTTCTGCTCCACGTCCTGTGGTTCTGCTCGGCCGCTTCATTTCTGAAAGCTCCCGTGTGAGCGGGACGTGTCCAGTTCGTCTGCGGTTTATGAACGTCCAGACGGAGGAGACAGTCGGACTGATGTGTGCGTCCGTTTTATGGAACCGTCTCATGAATGAGCCTACGGAGTATCAGGTTTTGTCCCAGCAGCAACACATGTAACATGTTTCTTACCTTTCCAGCCAGGTAGAGCATTTGTGTGTCTGGGTCGTAGAACGGAAAGAGAACTCCTGCAGATCCATCCAGGTCCTCTTCAAACAGAGGCTCAGACAAGTCGTCCTGCAGACAAGCAAAAATAAAAGGTTCATGGTTCCAGACTTCCACACGTTGTGGACTTTTGTCCTGTCAGGACATGTCTGTCCTGGAAAAAGTTAAAAATAAAGTGTCCCACGGGGTCCCAGAGGACGATCTGTCTGTGGTTCCAGGACGAGCTCCCAGTGGACAGAAGCATCTTCAGCCCCGTGATGTATAAGACTTTGTTGGCCTTGTGTGTCTTTTTGTTGGACACCTGCGGAGACGTGAAGCTTCATCACTGCAGGTTCTACCACAGGGAACGTTCAGACGAGTCAAACACCTGAAAACAGCACCTGGAGAATCTTCCCGGCCCGCGGGTCCAGGACTCGAACACGCCTGTCTTTGGACGTGACGGCCAGCCTGCTGCCGTCGCTGTTGAAGCTAACGGAGAGCAGCAGCGCCTCGGACGGGTACCGGTGGTGAACGGGCATCAGCACCACCCGGGCCGGACATCTGATCACTGCCTCGGGCCGGGACACGTCCCAGAGGAGGACCTGGACCAGGAGACAAGCTCAGGCCTGATCTGCAGGGTGAGTTCACCTAAATGAATCCAAACTGGTCACAGTTTTAGAAACGCAGGTGGAGCCGTTCAACATCTTTGTGTCAGTTTTTTGTCTTTTTGTTGACGTCAAATCAGCTGAAGTCTGTTGGTCTCATTTCTGCTGGACCCACTCGATGATCCGGACTAAGATCCAGTCTGGACTTTCTTTAAGTGAGATTTTTATGTTTGTTGGTTTTTGTGCACATGTTCTAACAAAAATTCTGAAAACCCCACACCCACCACTAGAGGGCGACAACATACAGGAAAAATAACTTTTTTCTGACTAAATATTTTCCCCTAACTTTTCATTTATTTATTATTATTATTTACAATTATCTCTCATCTATTAATATTTTCAGGACGCACATTTTGACGGCAACAGAATCAGGATAAAGTGAAACAAACACAAACGTGTTTAAAATGTGTTTTTGATGAGTTCATGTGGATCTGCTGAAACCTGAGTTCCTGGAAAGTGTTTTTAAAAAAGTAAATGATTCGTCACCAAAAACTCACTTTCTGTGGACAAAAGGTGCAAAAAAGTTTCTGAAAATATCCAAACTTTTGTAATTTAGATTCTCAAAACTGGACTGAATGTGAGCAAGGACCAAAAATAAAAAGTCTGTTGGTTCCAAAGCACCAATCAGGATTAAATCAATCAAAGAATCATCAATTTAAAATTCACTCGACTTCGTTTGTTTCTTACCAACGAAAATACAAGTTTGTGTCAGAAGTCGGGTGTAAATAACGATTAAAGAACGGCTGTTTGGAGTTAATAACAGATTAATAAAACACGCTGACCATGTTTCACTTTATAAAAAACATAAATGTGACCCGAGCTGCAAAATGAGTCAGAATGAAGACAAAAAATGACATATTATATTATATTATGTTACATTACAATACATCATATTATATTACATTACATTGTATTCTAATATATTAAAGTATTTGAGATTTTTGTTGTAAAAATGAACCCATAAAAACACCCTCTATCAATCCTGGTAACTAAAACATCAGTTTTCCTAATTTATCTTTAAATTAAACATTTCTAACAAATCTTCAGAAATATTTTTATTTGCTTTGAAATGGACCTTTTTTTTCCTGCTGGGAAATCCTTTCATATAATGTTTGCCCTCATCATGAAGCTCAATGACATCACTCCAGACCAAAAACAAAAATCAAGGTTTTAAATCGGCCCTCTGTTAATCAAAAACTATTTTGCTTCCAGGTGATAAATGACCAAATTACGGGTCATTCTGAAGCTTTTGAGACAGAGAGTTTGAAAATAAAAATCAAATAAATAAATAAATTCCTCATCATGACTCATTTTTCATAATGTGTCACTGATGTGATTTCTTGTGACGTTTGACGGACGTTGTGTCTAACCAATGAGACGTCTGACCTTGTAGTCGTAGGCGGAGCTAAGCAGCAGGTTCTTGGCGGTTGGATGCCATTCAATGATGGCCACCCTCCTGGAGTGACCAATCAGAGTCTTCCTGGGCCTGGTGACATTCTGTTTGACCCCGCTGGCCGGGATGTCCCAGATCTTCACCTATGAACATGAAGGTGAAGATTTCCTGTTGTTTCAGTCTGACATGAACCTGAACCAGATTTTATCTCTAACATGAAAACCCAACACAAGGTGTCCTGATGCGTGATCAATAATCCAGGTAGATCAATCTAACAAGGTTGGGTCAGGTCCTCTGGACGGATTGTTCTTTGTTAAAATGTTTCATCTTTCATCCAAAAGACTTCTTCAGTCTGAGGAGCTGCAACAAACTCAGTCTTATAAACAGCACCTTCTCATAGTAGATCAACCAGTTCAATGCTGACAGCCAGAACTCCCTGTTCGCACGATCAAGGGGGACCATCAGCCTAACGATGGATCATTAGAGCCCTAACAATAGGTCATTGGAGCCCTAACAATATGTAGTTAGAGCCCTAACAGTAGATTATTAGAGCCCTAACAGTAGATTATTAGAGCCCTAACAATATGTAGTTAGAGCCCTAACAGTAGATCGTTAGAGCCCCAACAGTAGATCGTTAGAGCCCTAACAATAGATCGTTAGAGCTCCAACAGTAGATCGTTGGAGCCCTAACAATATGTAGTTAGAGCCCTAAGAGTAGTTTGTTGGAGCCCTAACAATAGATTGTTAGAGCCCTAACAGTAGATCGTTAGAGCCCCAACAGTAGATCATTAGAGCCCTAACAATAGATCGTTAGAGCCCCAACAGTAGATCATTGGATCCCTAACAATAGATCGTTAGAGCCCCAAAAGTAGATCGTTGGAGCCCTAACAATATGTAGTTAGAGCCCTAAGAGTAGATCGTTGGAGCCCTAACAATAGATCGTTAGAGCCCCAACAGT